TAAAATATATATATGTTTAAATTACTTTTATAATCTTTGTTTCATTATTGATTATTTTTAATTTTATATGCATCTATTGAATGATCTATTGAACTTCTTCACAATTTGACTCTTGAAGGCCTTATTCTTCGTTTTTTGTATAATTGATTAATACATACATCCCATATATTCAAGTATTATGAGCATGTAATGTTTATACAAAGTTCATAAATATAACATTCTCCTGATAGATATACACGTGCGGGAATTACTTGATGAGAAATTACAATGCCTAGATAAGACAAACATTTCAACCAACTCTCCAAAAATGATTCAGTGTATTATTACTGACTTCAGTGCTACACTTATAATTGTAATTATCAGCGAATATTTACTGTTTTTCAGTAATAATACACTGATTTATTTTTAGAAGTTTCTACAGATTTAATCTGCAGAAAATCATAACCTCTAAAAATGAATCAGTGTATTATTATTACTGAAAATCAGTAAATATCCACTAATGATTATATCAGTTACCTATAATAAGTGTAACACTGAAGTAAGTAATAATACACTGATTCACTTTTAGAGAAAAGCTATAAATACTTAGGAAACAAAAACATTTGCACAAAAATAAAAAGGTTGAAGCAAAATTACAAACAGTTTGTGCTACTTTTGTAATTTTCTGTACAATAATTGAAGTAACATCGTATAAAACACTAAGTATTGTATTATATTGATGCTATCATAATGGTCTCATCTGTATATCCCTGTTGAAAAAAATGTCACAACGTTGCATGATAAAATCATGTAATTAAAATATGTAAATTACGTAACGGATTGTTCCAAATCAGTACATGATTTTTTTTAATGGTGTAAATTGAAAAATCACATGATATTACAAATAATTTCATCCATCGTGTGATGTTATAGTAATCGAATTTTAAAGAATTGAATGATTTTGAAATAAAAAAAAAGAACATATGTGACTTTTCAAAATACGTAATTTTAAAATCACGCACTAATTTTGAACAATCCGTTACGTGATTTACATTTTTTAATTACATGATTTTATCATGCAACTGTATAGCGTGATTTTTTTTCAGTAGAGATGCTTCACAAAAGTCTTACATGAGAAAGCATTACAATTTCTTACTATATTTATGTGAAATGTGACGTAACTATTTTTAGTACTGATTTGTTAGTCAGTAGAGTAATACCAATTATTCTACAGGTAGATAAGTTCTTTGTTTATATAGAACGACCGTAATTTATAAAAAATTTAAGAGGAAAAAAGGTTCCAGTGAAACAGAAAGGAAGAATAGGGTAACTCCGGTATATACGCTGCACCTATCAAAAACTTAATTTATTAAGTATTATTTACAATGTTTAAAATAAACGAATTATATCAGTAAAAACTTTGTACTGTCTATTACTATGAAAAAAATATTAGAAATCCGAAATATTTAGTTTTCATATTAAAAAATAAACTTTTTAAAATCTTGCATTTTTGTTATATATAGATAATGGGTGGGATATATGGCAAAAATGCAAGGGTTTCAACAAACTAAACAAATAGAATACGAAAGCAAAGCACTTGTATTTTGCTATACAATATGCTTTACTATTCCTCTACACGTATGTATCACGAAATAACTACTAGGTCTTTTACACACCTTAGAGTAATCATTTTATATAGATTAATTTATGATGATGTTACTTGTTACACAGTGACAAATCGATTCAACTCACAATAATTTCATTAATATTAACAGTGTATGAATTTCGCGCTGTGTGAATTTGACCAGATTCGGTCGAGCGATGACATAGATGTCACAACGGTACGGTAGGACGAGAGAAGTGTGTGTGCGAGTGGGGCGAGTGTGAATCTGATTAGACACAAAACCCGAAGCGTATTGTCAGCAACGTGATAGTGAGAATAAAGGTTTTATCAGTACTTTACAAGGCAGAAAATCAATATTACGGGAACCTATCTTAAATCCCACCAAATTGGTCCTTCGAACCCGGATAATTGTTAGCCGCACGAGCTAGCAGTCGCCACAGTGAATAAGACGTTCGAGAAAGCAAGCATCGGACATCGCGGGGGCTCATCATGTTGCTTCGTCATCACGGTTCGAGACGGCACATGGTCTAGCTTTACCCACATCCGTCGACGTCTCACAGGTGAGATCGAGGAGCGACTCGGGTAAAGAGAATCGCCAGTTTCTTTCTTTCATCACGAACGGCCATATTGTCGTCTATAACGACGACGGCCATATTGTCTTCTACGACGACGACGGCCACATTGTCTCCTACGACGCCGACGGCCACATCGTCTCCTACGATACTGACTATCAATCTGTCTGCTACGACAACGGCTATACTGCATCCTACGACGAGAGGCGCCATCCATCGCCATCCATCGCCATCAACAGGCCCACGACGCCATAAAAACGTGCTCTGCACATCACAAGCCGCAACCGAGAAGTTTGTATTGCACTAAAGGTTAGAATTCCGCGGTACAATGTCAAACGTAGAAAATTTGAAACGGGAGCGAACGACGCTCAAAGCACGAGCGACTAGATTTAAGAGATTTCTCGATAATTATGCAGACAGCGTCGAGAACAGGTTAATGCTAGAAGCGAAATTAGAGAAGTATAATGAATTGTGGAGCGAGTATCATGTGATACAGTCGAAAATCGATGAACTTCTTCCCGAAGCCGATGTCGCGGAACGGGAAAGGTTCGAGGAATCGTTTTTTATAGTACAAGCCGCAGCTCGGTCGAAACTCGCGCGGAGTGCTAATAATTCAATAAATGTTAATAACTCGACAAATGCTCAAGTAGATACACTATTCGCGAACGCAAATCAAACACCAGTGCGATTGCCCGTGATTTCGTTGCCGACGTTCAGCGGAAATTATGAGCAATGGCAGCAGTTTTACGACATGTTCATAGCATTAGTCCATAATCATAGACAACTAGATTCAATTCAAAAGTTTCATTATCTGAAATCCGCACTGTCAGGCTCTGCCGCTCAAGTAATACACTCATTGCAAACAACGAATGAAAATTATCCTATTGCACTTGAATTATTAACTAAGCGATTTCAAAATTTACGGTTAACTATACATTACCATGTTCAGGAATTGTTCAATATCTCTCCAATTCCGAAAGAGTCGGCAGATATGTTACGAGCGTTGTCAGATAATGTTCAGAAACATTTACGAGTGTTACAGCAATTAAAGGAACCCGTTGACAAATGGGATACGCTCATAATTTATCTGATTACGAGCAAATTGGATTCTACTACGAAGAAGGAATGGGAGCTGAAAGTGGCTGAGGAGAAGTTATCAACGATTAAGCAATTAATGGACTTTCTTGACACGCGATGCCAATTTCTTGAAATGCATCATCCAGTGCAAGGAAAGGTTTCGATTCAAAAGCCAAATCAGGTTAAAACGAACAAGAGTCAAGGTACAATGGCGCACGTTGCGACAAGTGAAGCAGTCGAGTGTGCTCTTTGTAAGCAGGCGCATCGAATACATGCATGCAAAATCTTTAAAGAGTTCTCCTTAGATTCGCGGCGTAACGAAGTCAAAAGATTAAATCTGTGTTACAACTGTTTAGCATCGAATCACATAGTACAAAAATGCACCTCTCGCGTGTGCAGGCACTGCCCAAAGAGACATCACACATTGCTTCACACGGACGAGCGAGTCAGTATGTCTGTCAAAGAACCAAATATGTCAAACGATAGTGCGGATAAGTCAAGCGAGACGAATAAGCAAGCGTGCGAAAAAACGGTCGCAGCTTCCGTGGCCATGACATCGAGTGGGCCTAGCCAAATTAGCTCGAAGGTTCTTTTGTCGACAGCAATAGTTCACATCCGGGATAGTGAAGGCAAATGGCACAAGGCACTCGCTTTATTGGATAACGGATCACAATCAAATTTTGTAACTAAATCTCTGTGTAAACGGTTGAAACTTAACGTTAATACAATTAAATATACCATTTCATGTCTTAATGTTTTTGAAACACCAATCGTCGAAACGACTCAGACTAATATAGCATCCATGACGACAACATACGAAACAGACGTTAACCTTCTCGTCGTCAATCAAATCACGCGGTCCATTCCAACCAAACCTATAAGTACAAAATCCTTGAGTCTTCCTCAATGCATTGACTTAGCAGATCCAACATTCTACAAACCACAAGCTGTTGACTTGCTATTGGGAGCAACGATCTTCTGGGACATCCTCGAAACCGAAAGGATTCAGTTGGGAGCTAGACAACCCATGTTACAGTCGACAAAGCTGGAATGGATATTATGCGGACAAGTTGAATCACCAAACGGTTCGCAATCTCACAACAAGTTGGTAATCTGTGAACTTGTTCGTAACGACGAACTTCACACGCAAGTGGAAAAATTTTGGCACATAGAAGACATGCCAGAAACGAAGATCTTCTCCAAAGAAGAGGTCAAATGCGAGGAATTGTTTCAAACGGAACATAAACGAACGGCTGACGGCAGGTTCGAGGTAGCATTACCGTTCCGTGAAGACCCATGCGTTCTGGGAGAGTCAAAGGTCGGTGCACTCAAGCGACTGCAACACTTGGAACGTAAATTTAAAAGGGATCCTCAACTACAAGAAAAATACGTCAACTTTATGGACGAATATATCAAACTCGGTCACATATCAGCGCTGCCGGACGCAGAAAACACGGAAGTAAATTATCTACCGCATCACTCAGTACTCAAGGAGGAATCAGTGTCGACGAAACTCCGAGTAGTTTTCGACGCTTCTAGTCCTACTACCTCCGGGAAATCCTTAAACGACTGCCTAATGGTAAGACCTACCATTCAAACGGAGTTGTTTGAAATATTGTTGCGGTTTCGACAGCATCCTTACGTATTAATAGGCGATATCGTTAAGATGTACCGGCAGATCATGATTCAGCCAGAGCATCGACGATACCAATGCATTCTTTGGAGAGCACGTCCTGAAGAGCCCGTAACGACATTCAGCTTAAACACGGTTACGTACGGAACTGCTTCAGCACCGTTCTTAGCTATACGCTCAGTGCAACAATTGGCTTTTGAATTTGAGGCAAGTCATCCTCGCGCCTCTGTGATTATCAGTCGTGATTTCTTTGTCGACGACATGATCACTGGAGAGTCATCAATACAAGGACTGTTGGAGATCAAGTCACAGGTTACGAACATACTGAAATCAGCAGGATTCGAGTTGGCAAAATTCCGATCAAACATTTCTCTTGATCAAAATCAATATTCGGATCGCTACGACCTTACAGACATAAAGGTGCTGGGACTGTTGTGGCAGGCTACTACTGACTTCTTGAGATATGAAACGAAGATTAAATTCAAGCCGGAAAATATTACAAGCGGACTATATTGTCAATGATTACTCAAATTTTCGATCCCTTAGGATTGATCGGACCTGTGATTATCAAGGCGAAGATTATTTTGCAAGTGCTCTGGCAACAAAAACTGGACTGGGATACTCCGGTACCAGAGACAATCAGAATCGTGTGGACATCCTATTGTCAACAATTGCCAGCCATTCGGTACTTAGAAATACAACGTCATGCGATAGTACACAAACCAACTGATATTCAACTTCATGGATTCTCTGATGCGTCCCAAGTGGCATACGGAGCTTGTATTTACATCCTATCTGTTAATGATGAGGGAACAATCAGCATACGATTGCTCACTGCAAAGTCACGAGTCGCTCCCCTAAAAACCATCAGTCTACCGAGACTTGAACTGTGCGGCGCCGTGCTTCTTGCCAATTTGGTGCAGAAGGTGACCCAAGCTCTCACATGCAGAATTTCACAACATTATCTCTGGACGGACTCGGAAATAGTGTTGGCCTGGATCCAAGGTGAACCATCAAGGTGGCAAACGTTTGTTAGAAATAGAGTTGTAGAAATTCAGAAATTAACAAATCCGCAAGATTGGGCACACGTGTCTTCGGAGAATAATCCAGCTGACTTCATTTCTAGAGGACTTTTACCGGAACAATTAATCAAAGCCACACTGTGGTGGGAGGGACCACCTTGGCTAAAGGAAACCTCACATCAGTGGCCACGGGGTATGGTGCAATTGTCAACAGAAGTACCAGAAACGCGTACTCAGACATTGACGGCAATCAACGTCAAGTCATTCGAACCAATCGATCGATTTTCTTCATTAATCAAATTGAAGAAAGTGATTGCACTTTGTTACCGATTCAGAACAAATTGTCTATTATCAAAGATGAAATCGTCATTAATCTATGGGCCACTCACCTCTGAAGAACTCCAAAGAGCTATGGTAATTCTATTGAAAATACATCAAATGCAAGAATTCAATGACGAGATTCATGCACTACAACGAGGCAAGGAAATAGATTCTCATAGCAGACTCTTATCACTTAGCCCAGTGCTTGACCAAGACGGTTTACTCCGTGTTGGTGGCCGGTTGAGAAATGCTCCGTTAATATATAACCAAAAACATCCTATCCTCTTATCTCCTCATGGTACACTGACAGATTTAATCATTCGAGATCAATACTTAAATCACTTTCATATGGGTCCACAGCTGCTTTTAAGTACCCTTCGTGAAAGATACTGGATAATACGCGGGAAACACGTAATCAAACGGGTATTGGGCAAGTGTGTTCTGTGTTTTAGAATACGTCCTCACAGTCCGGTACAAAAAATGGGAGATTTACCCGCTTGCAGAATTACTCCATCGCGAGCTTTCAAACACACTGGGGTAGATTATGCGGGACCATTTAACATTAAGATTTCCAGAAACAAATCGGGCAAGGCATACTTGTGCTTATTCGTGTGCCTGGCCACGAAAGCTATACATTTAGAATTAGTATCAGATCTGACCACTGAAATGTTCTTAAATGCATTAAAACGATTTATATCTCGCAGAGGAAAATGTGATTTAATTTGGTTAGACAACGGTAAGAATTTTCTCGGTGCTAGCAATGTATTGCGTCAACTCGGTGAATTTTTGTATCAGAGCGAAACTCAAACGAAAATTATCAATGTCGCATTCAATCAGGGAATTTCATGGAAATTTATTCCGCCGCACTCCCCACACATGGGAGGTTTGTGGGAAGCCAACATAAAAAATGTAAAGGCGCATCTCAAAACTGTAATTCGTGATACACTACTGTCATTCGAAGAATTGTCCACCGTCCTCATTCAAATAGAGGCCATATTAAATTCTCGTCCATTGTGTCCGCTGAGCAACGATCCAGAGGAATTGGAGGTTCTGACGCCAGGTCACTTCCTGATAGGGACATCTCTACTCACGATACCCGAACAATCTGTCATTGATGAGCCTACGAATCGCATTGGACGCTACCAATTGTTATCACAATTACAGCAATCATTTTGGAAACGTTGGTCGTCGGAATACGTTGCTCAACTGCAACAACGTTCGAAATGGCAAATCGTCATGCGCAACGATGAAATACAAGTTGGAAGATTAGCATTAATTCGTGACGAAACTCTGCCTCCTTTAAACTGGCACACGGGTAGGATTTGTGCATTACATCCTAGTCCTGACGGATTGATAAGAGTGGTGTCGCTGAAGACCGCTAAAGGAGTTATTCAAAGATCACTTCCAAAGATATGTATTTTACCCATTACATGAAATATTGTATTTTTCCTTTTGTCCTTTTCCGTTGTGTAATCGCTTTGCGTAATTTGTTAATTCAAACTAACTGTCAGACTATGACGTTCAGTACATTGTAATTTGTTTATGTCAACGATTTAAATTCTTTCTGTTCTTAAGTAATATTCACTATACTATTAGTTATTACGAAATATTGAAGTAATACTTCAAGGTGGCCGGAATGTATGAATATCGCGCTGTATGAATTCAACCAGATTCGGTCGAGCGATGACATAGATGTCGCAAAAGTACGGTAGGAGGGGAGAAGTGTGTGTGTGCGAGAGGGGCGAGTGTGATTCTGATTAGACACAAAACCCGAAGCGTATTGTTAGCAACGTGATAGTGAGAATAAAGGTTTTATCAGTACTTTACAAGGCAGAAAATCAATATTACGGGAACCCATCTTAAGGGGATGCTAAAGCAATGGCGGAACTCAATTAAGGTCGATAATACAGATTTTGGAGATTTTATTGGAAAATCGATGTAAGATGGTAGTGCGCCCCCATTTACACGGAGTAGCACGAAACTAAAAATATCGATAATATACCGAATGGTAATTTATCAGCATTTTTCGTGCTACATTATAAAAGTACGTGTTTTGTATGAATGAGTACAGCATAAACGTTTGAATGTGTATTTATTCTTTCGCGATACATTCAAGATCACTCGCACATAACTGTGTATATTTGGCGTCAATGCTCGCACATAACTGTGTACCGCGTAGTACTAATCCGTTCGTTTGATCGCGTGTAACTACGATCCGCGTGGTATCGTCGCTTCGCATGCGACTGGTCGATTCTTGACACGGCGAACCATGCCTTATTACGTGTGGTATTTATCGGTCCTCGACAACGCCTAGAGGTGCTAACACCTTGAGTCGATGTAACCGATGCGGACACGCGAAACGCCTGAGACCGTCGTCTTGGTTCGCGTTAGACTCACGTCGAGCACGGAGAGCAGAAGGACTTCGTGCCACGGTCAGACTACGAATGTCGTTCCTTCCCTGGAGATCGAGCGTATTCGTTGCGATCCCAGAAAAGGCCGAATATTATTGGTCCCAGGAAAGACCGAATCTTATTGGTCCCATAGATCACAGACCGCCGTGGAGAAAAAGATAGCGATGGCGAGATACCGATAAGCGATGAAAAAACACGCGGTAATACTCGCGGACTCGGGACCGAGCCGAAAGCTCTGTGATGTAAGCCGCGTCCTTCTGCTCCTTGATCTTTGTCGTGCTCGTAAACCGTATATGTATATACATATGCGTACATATGTCCATGTGTGTATATGTGTGTTAATATGTGTGTTAATATGTGTGTTAATATGTGTGTGAGTCGTCCGCCCTTTGTCTTATTTTACGTTGTGCACAACTTATAGCGCTTGTCTACGCGACA